GGCCCAGCGGTGGACCTGCAAGGCCGGCGGGAGAGCGAGGAAGCCCCGCGAAGGCCCTCCCTGGCCCCAGGCAGGCAGGGGTGGGGAGAGGCATGGAGGAAGCAACTTACCCTCCCTCTTCTCCTGCCTCCTCCTGGCTGAATGAGGCCGGAAGCGGGGCAGCCAGAAGCAGGGGGCGGAGCCTCGTCATGTGCCCCACCCCCCGTACCTCACCCGGGGGAACTGCGATCCCCCGCAATCCCCCCCCGAAATGACCTCTGGGCACAACAAACATGAAAAAGAAAACCTGGGGAGGGACCCCCTAGGATCTGAACCGACCCCTCGCTTGGGTCAAAAAAAGGGGGGGTGTAAGATGGTCCCAATCCAGCTCCCCCTTACCCAGTGAGAGACGGTGGAGTCGTTACGAGCGGGCTCCTGCCGGATGAGAAGGGGAGTTCCTTCCTTGCTCTCGTTGACTTCCGCGATGGTGTCATACTTGCTGAACCTCACGTGGCAATTCTGATTCTGCTCGCTGGTCTGCGAGAGACGGAGACGGGGAAAGGACAGAGAAGGGAGCCCATTTAGATTCACAGTCTGCCTTTCTCACTGAAGATGAGTTGGTCTGAAGTAGAAGAGCTTGATCCGAACCCAGGAGCATCTCAGAGACCAACACGACTTTCGGGCGATAAGCTTTCGAGAGTCAACGCGCCCTTCGTCAGACAGGGACCTCCACTAATCCTTGTATCTGACAAAGAGCGCTTTGACTCGAAAGCTTATACCCTGAAGATCTTGTTGGTTCCCAAGGGGAAGGGCCATGGCTCAGTGGCAGAGCCTCTGCTTGGCATGCAGGACGTCCCGGGTTCAATCCCAGGCATCTCCAGTTAAAAAGGATCAGGCAGGAGGTGATGGGAAAGACCTGCCTGAGATACAGGACAGCTGTGTAGAGGGGCTGTGGCTCAGTGGAAGAGCCTCTGCTTGGCAGGCAGAAGGTCCCAGGTTCAATCCCCGGCATCTCCAGTTAAAAAGGATCAGGCAGGAGGTGATGGGAAAGACCTCCGCCTGAGACCCTGGAGACCTGTGAAGAGGGGCTGTGGCTCAGTGGTAGAGCCTGTGCTTGGTATGCGGAAGGTCCCAGGTTCAATCCCCGGCATCTCCAGCTAAAAAGGACCAGGCAGGAGGTGATGGGAAAGACCTCAGCCTGAGACCCTGGAGAGCTGTAAAGAGGGGCTGTGGCTCAGTGGCAGAGCCTCTGCCTGGCATGCAGAAGGTCCCCGGTTCAATCCCCAGCATCTCCAGTTAAAAAGGATCAGGCAGTAGATGATGGGAAAGACCTCACTGCCTGAGACCCTGGAGAGCTGTAGAGAGGGGCTGTGGCTCAGTGGTAGAGCATCTGCTTGGCATGCCGAAGGTCCCCGGTTCAATCCCCGGCATCTCCAGTTAAAAAGGACCAGGCAGGAGGTGATGGGAAGAACCTCAGCCGGGGATTGAACCTGGGACCACGGTCAGGCTTGTCTACTCTGCCTATCAGCCGCTCTTCAGGGTCTCAGGCGGAGGTCTTTCCCATCACCTACGCCCTGTTGTTGGCCCCCCAGAGGAAACAGCTGGCCAATGTGTGAGACGGGATGCTGGGGTAGAGGGACCCTCACTGGTGTGACCCAGCAGGTCTCCTCTGATGTTCTTAAGAAGGCCTCGGCCTCTAGGCCCTGTTGCTGGCCCTCCAGAGGAACTGGCTGGCCACTGTGTGAGACAGGAGGCTGGACTAGGTGGACCCTCACTGGTCTGATCCAGCAGGGCTCTTCAGATGTTCTTATGAAGGCCTCGGCCTCTCTGCCCTGTTGTTGGCCCTCCAGAGGAGCTGGTTGGCCACTGTGTGAGACAGGAGGCTGGACTGGATGGACCCTCACTGGTCTGATCCAGCAGGGCTCTTCTAGATGTTCTTATGAAGGCCTCGGCCTCTCTGCCCTGTGGTTGGCCCTCCAGAGGAACTGGTTGGCCACTGTGTGAGACAGGAGGCTGGACTGGATGGACCCTCACTGGTCTGATCCAGCAGGGCTCTTCTGATGTTCTTATGAAGGCCTCGGCCTCTCTGCCCTGTGGTTGGCCCTCCAGAGGAACTGGTTGGCCACTGTGTGAGACAGGAGGCTGGACTCGATGGACCCTCACTGGTCTGATCCAGCAGGGCTCTTCTGATGTTCTTATGGAGGCCTCGGCCTCTCTGCCCTGTTGTCGGCCCATCAGAGGAACTGTTTGGCCACTGGGTGAGGCAGGATGCTGGACTGGATGGACCCTCACTGGTCTGATCCAGCAGGGCTCTTCTGATGTTCTTATGAGGGGAAGGCCTCGGCCTCTGTGCCCTGTTGCTGGCCCTCCAGAGGAACTGGTTGGCCCCTGTGTGAGACAGGAGGCTGGACTAGATGAACCCTCACTGGTCTGATCCAGCAGGGCTCTTCTGATGGTCCCCCATGCATTTTACCACTCCCAAGCAAATGCCCGGCCCTGCCCCACCATGCTGGCACACCCCAACCCTGCAGAGGTTCCTATTTGTCACACCCTGTCCACAGCCGACCCCACACAGATCCCGTTCCAATCCCTATACGGAGCTGGCCGGCCTCCACTTTATCAGGATCCTGCCCCCCTCTGTCACTTTGCCTACCTTCTGAATCACTATTCCAAAGGGCCAGAAGAAGTAACCTGCAAGTCGCCAACAGAGTTTTCCTGGAGGAAGAGAAAAGAGGTACTGGTTAAGACCCAGACAGTATGGGACACCCCCCCATACATGCCTACATCAGCATAAGAGTCAAAAATTTCTCGAGAAAGGTCCGGAAGAGCAGTGCAAGGCCCTGTGGGCCTCCAGACTGCTGCTGAACGGGGCTTCCTGTGTTCGTGAGCAGCTGCTCATGTGCACAGCTTAGCGGGGACACTGGCTGGGTCTTCCTCTTTTCCTGCTGCCTTCCACTTTTCCGAGCATGATTGTCCTTTCCAGCGACTCTTTGTCGTCTCATGACGTAACCAAAGTATGACAGGTGCAGTTTAAAAGAGGAAGAGTCCAGGGGCAGTTTGGTGTCGTGGTTAGGAGCGCG